CGGAAGAGTCAACCAATGTGGCAAACTTCATTGTTGTCTAACTTTAAAGAATTGCCGCAGCCACCCCGACCTTCAGCACCCACCACCCAGATCAGTCAGCAGCTATCAACATCGAGGCAAGAGCCTCCACCAGCAAAAACATTATGACTTGCTGAAAGCTCAGATGATAGCACTTTTCATAGCAATAAGGTATTTTTAGGGGCACCTGGGTGGCTCAGTGGTTGAGTGTCTGCCTTCGGCTCAGGTTGTGACCCCGGGGTCCCGGGGTCGAGTCCTGCATTGGGCTCCCTACATGAAACCTGCTTCTCCCTCTGCCTGTGTCTCTGCCTCTCTGTGTCTCATGAATAAATAAATAAAATCTTAAAAAAACGCATTTTTAAATTAAGGTGTATACGCTGTTTTTTTTAAAGATGTAATGCTGGGCAGCCCGGGTGGCTCAGCGGTTTAGCGCCGCCTTCAGCCCAGGGCGTGATCCTGGAGACCCGGGATCGAGTCCCATGTCGGGCTCCCTAGGTGGTGCCTGCTTCTCCCTCTGCCTCTGCCTCTCTCTCTCTCTCTCTCTCTCTCTCTCTCTCTCTCCCCGAGTCTCTCATGAATAAATAAAATAGTAAAAAAAAAAGATGTAATGCTGTTGCACATATAGACTTAACAGACTATAGAGTGCACACATAACTTTTATATGCACTGGGAAACCAAAAAATTCATGGGACTTGCTTTATTGTGATACTGGCTTTATTGCAGTGGTCTGGACTGCAGTCTGCAATATCCCTGGAAGCATCTACACTTCCTTCTCCACTGACTTGCCAGCTGAATTCATCTTCTCCTTCCCATCCTAAACTCTGGCCTTTTCTACCCTCTTCCTGAGAAAGCAGCAGGACCGGTCATCCAGTTGTCCAGTTGCCTGGAACGTCAGCAGGATCCTGGTCTTCTCTCATAGCACGAGCCCTGCGTGCAATGAACACTGAAGTCCTGTGGCATTCCCCCTGCTAATATTTCTCCCACCCGGCCCCTTCTCCCCCCTAATATTTCTGCCCACGACTGCTACCTGCATACAGGATGTGGCCACACCTCACCTGGCTTATGCAAAAAACACGCTCACTGTTCTTGCTTCTTTCCAGGTGGCACCTCAAGCCATCCTATACACTGCTGGCACGGTGCTCTACCATCACTCAAGGCTGCTCCTTTTTTTTTTTTAGGGGTGGGGGGTGGGAGGGGCAGGGGAAGGAGAATCTTAAGCAGGCTCCATGCCCAGGGCCGAACTTGACGTGGGGCTCGATCTCACCATCCTGAGATCATGACTTGAGCCGAAATCAAGAGATGGATGCTCAACTGACTGAGCCACCCAGGCGCCCCTGAAAGCTGCTCCTTTAACAGCTCCGTGAAGTTTTCAGGATGAAGTCCAAGTCCCTGAACTTAGCACACAGAATGGAACTTGATAATATGGCCCTACCCACCTCCCCAGTTTCCTCTCCCACCTCTCCCCACATGCAAATACGCCTGTGCATTCTGTTCCCTTTCTTTGCCTGGGACTCTCTTCCCACTTTCTTAAAAAAAAAAAAGTAAAAAAAAAAAAACCTGTGGTAAAATATATATAACATAACATTTGCCATTCGAATCCAGCTTTCTTTCTCTAGATTATTCCTACTTATCCTTCAAACTCAGCTCAAGTGTGACCCCTTCTGAAAAACCTTTCCTGAGTCCTCAGACTGGGGTAGGTGCCCATCTCTTGAGCTACCAATATCTTAGCTCTTATCACATTGTAGTCTGTTAGCTCACATCTCTTCTTATTACAGACTCTCTAAGAGTCTGCGTCTTATTTAATCTTGCGTCCCCAAGGCTGCAATGTACAGTTGCACGGGTTATGCACTGCACTAGGATGCCTGGTTGAGGAAGTGATGAAGACCATTAGCCGACTGTGCACTCTGGGACAGGGCTGTATCCAGGCCTTTTTCTATCTTGCACAAAGATGCCACAGGGGACGTGAGGGGGCCTACATGTCCTCAGGCCTCATTACAGAATTTGCAGATAGTATGACCGTAGGTACTTATTAAGTGTTAAATTGAGTAAAGGCAGATGGATGGGTGTTCTAGGCAAAGGTACCAGAGGAAGACACAGTGGGGAAGCCGGGGTAATGGGATGGTACCGGAGGGTTGGATTAGGGGGTTCGGAGCCACTTTGTAGAGGGTCTCTTATGTCGGGCTGAGGGCCTAACTCTCAGTCCAGTAGGCAACGAGGAACCTTTGACAATTCGGGGGATGACTGTGACTTAGAATCACAAACTAGTCAGGCTTGAGAATGAGGCCCAGAGAAGTCAAGTGACTTGTTCAAGCGCACACGGAAAGCTCGTGGCTGAGCCTGACTTGAGGCTGGCTCTTTCACAGTGCTCTCAGGGGAAGTGCCCCAGAGCCAAGGCGCAGCCCTCCGAGTCTCCAGGGGAAGCCTGCCCAGCCTTCCCGACAGGCCCTGGTGGTGGAGGGCAGGGGGCCCTCAGCCTGGCTGGTGGCAGGGTAGAGAGGCAGAGGCGCCCCGTCCCTCTGCAGATCCGCCTCCTTGAAGGTGGGCAGATCACCTGCTGGCTTCCCGCTCTTCTCACAAGGCGAGTGCTCTAGTTTCTGGAGCCTCTTTTTTTTTTTTTTTTAAAGATTTTATTTATTTATCTGACAGAGAGGAAATGAGAGCACAAGCAGGGGGAGGGTCAGAGGGAGAGGGAGAAGCAGACCCCCCGCTGAGCAGGGAGCCCAACACAGGACTCGATCCCAGGACCCTGAGATCATGGCCTGAGCCCAAGGCAGCTGCTTAACCGACTGTGCCCCCCAGGCGCCCCCTGGAGCCTCTTTTTTCATAAGAAGGACTTGCCTCCTTGCAATCCTTTGGGCTGCTCTCCTCTGGGTCCTGGCTAACATTTGCAGACTCTGCTAGAACAGAACTGCCCAGCTCTGGCTCACAGCAGTCTGCACGAGCATGTTGGAGTTGGTCTGAAAGGAGCGTGGGGGCCGATCTAACCCAGGGGTCCCCTCAGGGCTGGGACCACGTCTATTGTCTGTCATCCGCTGTGCTCACGCTATGATCTTCCAGGACCCTGATTCTCCTCTGGCTCATTCCTCACAAGCCCCTTGGTGGGCTCTCCCCCTCTGGTTTCTCAGGACCTCATGTCTGGACCCTGAAGAAATGACTTTATCCTTCTCTGTTTTCAACTTCATCTGTCTAGTTCTGCAGAGAGATTGGACTTCTCAACCTTTAGCACCAGTTGAGGAGCTCAGTCCTTTGGCGCCCATAACGATGATGATGATGGTAACATTATCACCATGTATTTATCGAAAGTGCGCTCTGCTCCAGACATTGCTCTTGCTGCTTTTAATATATATTTTTTAAAGATTTATTTATTTATTTATGATAGACATAGAGAGAGAGAGAGAGGCAGAGACACAGGCAGAAGGCAAAGCAAGCTCCATGCACCGGGAGCCCGATGTGGGACTCGATCCCGGGACTCCAGGATCACGCCCTGGGCCAAAGGCAGGCGCTAAACCGCTGAGCCACCCAGGGATCCCTCTTGCTGTTTTTATAAAAGTTAGTTCACCTGACCCTCACAACAATTCCACAGGGGAGAGCTAGCATTAGGCCCATTTTACAGATGAGGAAAATTGAGGCACACCAGATTGAGCAACTTGCCCAGAGTCAGCCAGCTGACGTCTGCACCTGGGCAGTGCGCCAGAGCGTGCGCTCACCTTGAGACGCCTGATACTGCCCGGGCAAACAAGCTGGCAGGCGCTCTCCGAGGTCACCGATAAAAGGGAGCCTCTCACTCTGAGCAACCAGGTGCGGAGGCCACCAACCGTCACGCTCAGGCTGGGTCTTCCCTAACCCGCTACATTCTCCTACAGGATGGACCTGAGATCCGATCAAGCAGAGAGAACAAAGCTGGCCCAGCAAGCCCACCTGCATGACAGGTAGCTACCCCCCCCCCCCAACAGCTGTGTCTAAACCTTCCCACTCTAGCACAAGAGGCTCTCTAATGGATCTGGTGTAATTAGCTCCTTACAAAGTCATCATAATTTCCAGGGAGCAGTGACAAACTAATTGATGGATGCTTTTAATCCACAGGTTTACTAGGTATGAACTTAAGTGTAATTAACTATCATTCATTAACAGAACACTTTTTCTCTTTAAATATATAAATTAGGCAGGCTCCACGCTTGTCCCTTGTCCGCCTTCGCGACGTCTGCAAGAGAAGGCTAGAGGCTCCGTAACTCGCCAGTCCCTAAGTGCTCCACGTTGGGGCTGTCAGCACTTGAAGACATTCACCTTCTCTTCCTGTCCTCCTTTTCAGTCTGGCTTCCTATCTGTCCGCTCCACAGGTAACCTTTGCTGACTTTTGGGTAAAGACTGAGATTTAAAAAAAAAAAAAAAAAAAAAGAACCCAAAGCCTCTGATTCTCCACGGTCACCTGCAACCAACCAGTCCTCTCCCACCACATCAAAGGGGTGACATTCTCTTTGGATTTCCTCTTTCCCTCCGAGGCTCAGCTCCCACTATCTGCCTCTGTGGGTAGCTGGTAGAGGAGTGGAGGCCCAGCTGCTCTCAGCAGAGCGGCTCGGTGGGGGGCCTGCCTCCCAGGGCCTCACTCCCCGCTGGGCAAACTGTGCTTTGGATTATTTACATCAGTGCTTCTCTTCACTGGGGCAGAAAATTGAGAGATGACCACATAACTGAGGAATATTTCTCTGTCACCCTGTTCGATGACACGACTTGGCTCAGCTCTTGGGAACAGAAGAGCTTCCCCCCTATTCAGGCACACGGCGCTTTAAAGGCCTGCGTTCCCTCTAGGGGTTTGGGTTTCTCACCCCATCATTGTCATGGTTTTCTGTCCCTGCCCTCCTCATTCCCCAAATTCCTGGACACGATGCCCAGGAACAAAGCCAGAGGGTAAACACCGTTTCCTGTGGTGACAGGGACAAGCAGGGAGGACACACAGCTGCGGGCTGCCAGCGCCCGACACTCACCATGGTTTGTCCCTTGATCCTTTTGCAGAAAAGACCGTGTGCTGTTTGCTGCTGGAGGTAAGTAGATTGTCTTTGGGCGTTTTGAATGGCTTTGAGGTGCTGCTGGCAGAGTTCTGGCCGCTGAGACAGGCTTTTGTTTTCACCTGTACTAATGACGTCCTGGAATTGGAGGGTGGAGATGCTGGCGAGGGAGAAGGTCTACACATTGAACCGTGTCTTCTCTCTGCAGAGGAAGAAAGAATAGAATTCAGCACATCACCTGAAGCGAGTGAGACCCACACACTCACGCATCCTCAAATACACGTGTGTATCTTGCAGTGTCGTCGGCACCCCTGAAGCCCCAGTTCTGGCTACGATTTTGTCTGGACCTCTGCTCCTATCCCACCAACGAGGAATGATTACATTCTGAATTCCTGTATCAAACGGCATGAGAAAACTACTGCCTCGGTGAGAACAGGAGGCACTCAGCAGGCTCTCCTTCGGCAAAACTACTTCCCCACGACTAGCAGAGGGGCCACCAGGCATTACCGGAACACAGTGGGATAACCACACAGCCAAAGTCATCCCCAGGCAGCTAGCTACTCCGAGGCCACAAGGTCCCTCAGGGCAGTGCGTAGGGTGGGAATCTCAAGAGAACAAATAGGAAATTCTAGAACCTGACCCCCCACCCCATCCCCAGCAGGAGCACTAGTCAGAAGGACCAGAAGGGCTGAATGAAAGGGTCTTTGAATGCCAGGAAATGGCCCATCCACATGCCACTGTGGCCTCTCCAGGCCTCACTGAGGTCCAGGGCCAGGGCTGCTAGGCCAGGGACTGTAGGAGCCTATCGATGCTCAGGTGAGAAGTCACAGATGTGGGCCTCAGTTTAGGCGGATGGGCACAGCTTCTTGAGGTTCTACAGAAAATACCAGAGCTCTGAGCAGTCATGCCTCATGTGGTCAGCCCCTGTGGTCGCGACTCAATGGACAGACAGGATGACGATGCTCACCAGGACAACAGGTGCATGGTGATGTAAGGTTCTTAACTGTGATGGGGTAACAGATTTGATCCAAGCTAAGGATCCACTCTCAAAAAAAAAAAAAAATGCACTTTACACACACAAAAACTTTGTACACAAGTACAGGAAGGAATCGTGGACCCCCAAAAAACAAAGGCTCTGAAATTCGAAGTCCCCTCTGGCTCTCCGGTGCCTACGACAGGATCCCACATACAGTCAGTGCTTCGTTTATGTGTTGAATCAATAAACGAAATAATATCAAATGACCTGATGGGGGGCACCTGGCTGGTTCAGTCTGTAGAGCATTTGACTTTTTTTTTTAGATTATTTATTTATTTATTCATGACAGACACACACAGAGAGAGAGAGAGAGAGAGAGAGAGAGGCAGAAACACAGGCAGAGGGAGAAGCAGGCTCCATGCTGGGAGCCCGATGTAGGACTCCATCCCGGGTCTCCAGGATCACGCCCTAGTCTGAAGGTGGCGCTAAACCGCTGCGCCACCCAGGCGTCCCAGCATCTGACTCTTGATCACGGTGTTGTAAGTTCGAGTCCCACACTGGGTGGAGAGATTACTTAAAAATAAAATCTCCCCCCACCCCCAAAAATGTCCTGATGGGAAGAACTGGAGATCACAAATCTGGAAATCTGGATTGAATATGATAATGGACAAGGTAGGGGGCAAAGATGGCAGGCCACATTGTCCCTCCATCTCCAAGCTGGGTGTCAGGCTTTTCTCATTAGTGAGACATTTGTGGCAGTTATTCCAGGCACCCTGCCCTGGGAGAAGCAAGCCAGAGTAACCTGGCTGTCAGGAATGGGACTTTGGGGTTTCTCTGGGTTCATTCATACCAGTGGGCTGCCAAGTTGTGTCAAAGCAGATTGGCTCTGGTCCTCTTTCTAAGACTTTATTATTTATTTAAGAAAGAGAGACAGAGGGAGAGGGAGAAGGAAAGAGAGAGAGAATGTAGAAGCTAGGAAAGAGGCAGAAGCAGACTCCCTGCTGAGCAGGGAGCCCTACATGGCTTGATCCGGGCACCCTGGGATCACCACCCAAGCTGAAGGCAGACACTTACCCGACTGAGCCACCCAGGTGCCCTGGGAAAGTAGATTTTTGAGGACCGTCTGGTGGTTGGGTACTTTGGCCTGACCAGTGCTCATAGGTTGCCTACACTGAATAACTTTCCTGGGTGATTTTCCTTCACTGAGTCAGAGCAGAATGTTGCAGACGTGCTCAGTTCCAAGAACCATCCTGCTGCAGGTTTTAAAATACAAGGGGTGGGATCCCTGGGTGGCTCAGTGGTTTAGTGCCTGCCTTCAGCCCAGGGTGTGATCCTGGGGTCCTGGGATGGAGTCCCACGTCAGACTCCCTGCATGGAGCCTGCTTCTCCCTCTGCCTGTGTCTCTGCCTCTCTCTGTGTGTGTCTCTCATGAATAAATAATAAAATAAAATCTTAAAAAATAAAATAAAATCCAAGGGCTGGTCCCAGGGCACCTGCTTTGATGTAGTGGGAGAGCCCTGGGCTGCGAGCCAGAGATCTGGGCTCCAACTCCAGCCACGCCACGGCATTGGGCTTATGGCCTGGAGTTCACCACTTACACTTTCTCAGTTTCCATGTCTTTATCTGCAAATGAGGAGGGTCCCTGGGTGGCTTCTAAGGTCTCTTGCCTCTCCATTACCATAAATACAAGGCGTACTTACACCAGGACCTTCTCTCCTCATCCCTCACGATTCCCGAATATTACGGCAGTCACTGCGGCTGAAGTATTGAGATATTTTACTCAGGCAGGATCTTCCTTGGAGGAATTCATCCTTTGTGAAATTGTACTGGCCTTTACAACCCCTGTGAGGCAGGCAGGAAGCAGCCAGGCGTCTCCACCCTCCGCACGGCTGACTGGCCAAAGAAGACCCAGGGCGGCGAGGTGACTCCCCAAGGTCAGGGCCAGTGGCTACACGAGGCATGGGCCTCTGGGCCGTGTGCAGGGGCCTAGCCGTTTCTCAGGAAGACAGGAAATGGGGTGTACTGTGACCAAGATTCGAAGCCAGGAAATTAGGAAGCGCAGGACTTAGAAGCACGGAAGGTCAGAACTGGATCGAAAGTCAGCTGGCCCGATCTCCTTGCTGATAGATGAGGTTGGAGGGGTGATCGGTCACCAGCCTGCAGGGCCGGGCTAGTCGGGGGGCAATGCCAACACCAGAACCAAGTCTTCTCACTTCAAATCCCTAGTACTTGCTACCCTTCCCAAGCGTCTGGCTTAGCAATTTTCTTTTTTGGCAGGGGTTTCCAGAACGAAAATAAGATTTTGATGTTTACCACTACTGTTTTGAAATTTCCTTCATTTACTCACTTGCTTATCGCTTGCTCAAGCTGACACAGTGGGTAGGGGGAAAGGATGTGCAGAAATAGTCCTCAGCTCTGGCGGAGAGGTAAGCTTTGATAATGAAGAGGACTTTTGTTTGGCTAAACCAAGAGTTAAAAATAATAGAAGTAAACAAATACCATATGATCTCACTCATATGTGGAATTTAAGAAACAAAACAAACGAAGTAAAAAAAAAAAAAAGAGAGAGAGAGAAACCGAAAAACAGACTCTTGACTAGAGAAAACAAACTGGTGGTTGCCAGAGGGGAGGTGGGTGGGGGAAAGGTGAAATAGTGATGGGGTTTAAGATTAAGAGCACACTTCTCACGAAGCACCTGGGGGCTTATTGGGTTAAGCCTCTGATGCTTGATTTCAGCTCAGTCGTGATCTCTGGGTCCTGAGATCCAGCCCTGCATCGGGCTCCATGCTGGATGTGGATTCTGCTTGAGATTCTCTCTCTCTCCCTCTCCCTCTGCTCCCCATCCCACTCATACTCTCTCTCTCTCTTAAAAAAAAAGTATATTTGTCGTGAAGGAGTAACGTACAGAATTGTTGAATCACGATATTGTGTACCTGACACTAATACAACACTGTATGTTAAATATACTGGAATCATAGTTCTTACATAACAATAATAATAATACAGGTAAAGATAAATCACAAGGAAGGGTACCAATAAAGACAAAATGAATGAGCCAGACCAATGATTCTAAAATCACCTACTCATGGAATCCTATTTAGTGACCCAGCCAACACGTTCCAGGGCTAAATTCACAGAAAAAAAAATTAAATCAACAGATATGTTTTATGTTTTCTTCTTGGTTTTTAGTTCCATAAATTCTTCTTAAATGACCAATCAGAAGAACAAGTTGGGGGATCCCTGGGAGGCTCAGTAGGTGAGCGTCTGCCTTCGGCCCAGGGCGTGATCCTGGAGTCCCGGGATCGAGTCCCACACTGAGCTCCCTGCGTGGAGCCTGCTTCTCCCTCTGCCTGTGTCCCTGCCTCTCTCTGTGTCTCTCATGAATAAATAAATAAAATCTTAAAAAAAAAAAGAACAAGTTGGATATGAGAATACTCATCAAAACTTGAAGATAGCGGGATCCCTGGGTGGCGCAGCGGTTTGGCGCCTGCCTTTGGCCCAGGGCGCAATCCTGGAGACCCGGGATCGAATCCCACGTCGGGCTCCCGGTGCATGGAGCCTGCTTCTCCCTCTGCTTGTCTCTCTGCCCCCCCCCCCCCCCCCGTGTGACTATCATAAAAAAAAAAAACTTGAAGATAGCACTCCACCCTTAATCTTTTTTTATTAATGTGTGATTTTGCATTGTGATAAACAGATTAAAGCAGTATTTCCTATTTGAACTGTTCCTTATCAGTCAAACTGAAGGAAGTCTATCACTACTTCAAGGTATCCCACAAAGAGACCTGTACTCCTGTCCCCTGAGCTCTGAGAACAAGTGAGGCAGCCACCTGGTGCAGGCGAGGAAAGCCTATGTACGAATTTTAAGTGGGGAACCCCGGTCACAGTGATCAGAGCTTCCCTTAGGAGGTGAGCTTCACACTTCACTCGGCGAAGCTTTTGAAAATGGGTAGAACTGATGTCCTGGGTAGCACGGACTAAGTAGATTTTTCAGAAAGATCCAATTCCTATTCAATCTGTGTTTCTCTAGTCTGGGAAGACCCGCCTGTAGATAACTCACATGGCTTTCTCTTTTGGTGGAGAGGTGGGTGGGCTAGTGATAGGAGCAGACAAGGTCTTAAGTTTCTTGTAAAATGATATTGCTGTGTGGGCGCAATGTCCCTGGGTAGAGTGTTCCAGATTTATATTACAGTCATTCTGACACAAGTCCTCACATACTCTGGGCTTAT